CGGCCTCCGGCTGAGCCCCCCCGTGGCCGGCGGCCTCCGGCTGAGTCCCCCGTGGCCCGTGGCCTCCGGCTGAGCTCCCCTTCGGCAGATCATGGTCGGCGAGGGCGTGCTGTACTGCCTGCAGTCCCCGCTGTGGGGGCGCGGTGGGGGCCCGGGCGCGGCCGAGGGCAGCATCAACGCCGGCGGCTGCAACTTCAACTCCTTCCTGCGGCGCACCGTCCGGTTTGTGGGTGAGTGGGGGCGGCGTGGCCCGTGTAGCCCCCGGCCCCGGGCGCCGGGGTGCCGGCCTCAGCTCCTGCCGGCCGACTCCCCCTCAGGCGTCCACGTGTTCGGCCTGTGTGCCACGGCCTTGGTGACCGACGTCATCCAGCTGGCCACAGGCTACCACACGCCGTTCTTCCTGACGGTCTGCAAGCCCAACTACACGCTGCTGGGCACGTCCTGCGAGGCCAACCCCTACATCACGCAGGACATCTGCGCTGGCCAGGACGCCCACGCCATCCTGTCCGCACGGTGAGCAGGCCCCGCCCCGCCGCCCGCGGGAGGCCGGCGCGCGCTCACGGCCGTGTCTTGCAGGAAGACCTTCCCGTCGCAGCACGCCACCCTGTCCGCCTTCGCCGCCGTCTACGTGTCGGTGAGTGCCGCCCCCCCCCCGCGTGGCCGCCCCGGGGACGGCCGCCCTGACGCACCTGCCCGTCCCCAGATGTACTTCAACTCGGTCATCTCGGACACCACGAAGCTGCTGAAGCCCATCCTGGTGTTCGCCTTTGCCATCGCCGCGGGCATCTGCGGCCTCACCCAGATCACGCAGTACCGCAGCCACCCCGTGGACGTCTACGCCGGCTTCCTGATCGGGGCCGGCATCGCCGCCTACCTGGTGAGGGCTTGCGGGGCTCTGGCCGCTGGTCCCCAGGGCGACGCCTAATGGGGCGTCTGAAGGCGGGACTGGTCCCCGAGGAGCCTGCAGGGAGGGCTGACCCCAGAGGGGAGGCTGAGGGGAACCTACCCACA